TGGCTAAGAAAAAAAAAAGCGGGGGGGAACCAAGAATTACTTGGGAGGCTGAGGTGGGAGAATTGCTTGAACCCAGGCGGCGGAGGCTGCAGTGAGCTGAGATCACGCCACTGCACTCCAGCCTGGGCGACAGAGCAAACGATACTGTCTGAAAAAAAAAAAAAAATTGCTTGAAGAAGAGTCACAATATCCCAATGAGACAGGTTTTATACTTTCCTTGTACTCTTTCTTTCTCTCTACTATTTTTTTCCTACTCCCAAGTAGCTTAGACTGGAGGCATATGCCACCATGCCGAGCTCGTTTTTTTTTTTAGCAGAGACAAGATATCACTATATCACCCAGGCTGGTCTTGAACTCCTGAGCTCAAGCAAGCCTCCCATCTTGGCTTCCCAAAGTGCTGGGATTATACGCTGCGAGCCATGGCACCTGGTGTGTATATATATATATATATATACACATATATATATGTATAATTTCGCAGACATGAAGCCTTGTTATATTGGTCAGGCTGGTCTCAAACTCCAGGCCTCAAGTGATCCTCCCACTCCAGCCTCTCAAAGTGCTGAGATGATAGGCATGTGTCACTGTCCATTTTATTTATTTACTTTTTATTTATTTTTTGAGATGGAGTCTTGTTCTAACACCCAGGCTGGAGTTTAGTGGTACAATATAGGCTCACTGCAACCTCCACCTCCTGGATTGAAGGGATTCAACACCTCAGCCTTCTGAGTAGCTGAGATTACAAATGTGCAGCACCACATCCAGCTAATTTTTGTATTTTTAGTAGAGATGGGGTTCACCATGTTGGCCAGGCTGGTCTTGAACTCCTGACCTCAGGTGATCCTCCCACCTTGGCCTCTCAAACTGCTGGGATTACAGGCATGAGCCATTGCACCCAGCCAAGTCTTCCATTTTAAATGTGAGAAAATTGAGGTCCACCTAAAGTCATATGGTATCTCATCAGCAAGAGGACAGTAGCTGCCATCAGAGGCTGATCTGCCCCTGCAGCCAAGTAGACATGTTTTTCTAATTGACTGGGAGGCAGAGTGGCGCTGTGGAAGGAGAATCCTGGGATGTCAGACACACCTGGGTTCTGATCCTATCTCTCTTGGTTGCAGACCTGCTATAGTTCAAGTGAAAAAAAAAAAAGGAAAAAAGAGACCATAGTCCAGAAAGAGGAGGTTTGTTTTAGGAGACAGTCTTCTAGGCTGAGCAGACTAGAGCTATTAAGAGCTCTCTGAGGGCAGAAACTTATCTTATCTTTATATCCCTGGTAGCTAGTGCAGTTCCAAGGACATGCTTGGTACTCAATAGGAGTACTTGAATAGATTTGGAAGAAAGGAGGCAGAGGAGGGAACTCAAGAGAGTTTAGAATCAAGAATCCAAGGAGGAGACAGCCAGGAAAGAGTGGGTCTAAGACAGAGACTTCAGGCATGTGGGGCCCTGGTTCCCTTACTCCAAGCCTTTGGGAAATCCTCCACAGGAACATGGTGCTGTGGCTTTAAATGACTTCAGCATTGTCAATGAATCCGCTCTGCTAAAAGAGTTATCCTCTTGCTCCTGTGCTTGGCCTCCCCCTCCTCTCAGCTCCCCAAACCCTTCTCGGCCGCTGTGATGGGATAATTAGATGCGAGAGCTCAGCACAGATGATGCTCCAGTTGCTTAGCAACTAATGGTTTCCATGGAGACCGCAAAGCACAGCCTCCAGAGCAGCCAGTGAGCAGCTCGGCAGGGCAGGGAGAAGACGCAACTCTCGGCTCCTCCAGAAACCTGGGGAGGGCCGGGGTGGGGAAGGTGGGGGGAATTGGAAGGAGAAGGGAGCGCTTAAAGGCACAGGGCCCTCTTATCCCTTTAAAATCTGGTCAGAGATCTGCCCTCCCCTACCTCACTCTGTCCCACTCATAATTTTAGATGGGGATGGGGGCTTAAGAGTGGACCCAACGCAACCCACCTTGCGATAAATCCAACCTCTTCTTTCTGCTTCTTGGTTGTGCATGAAGAGAGAGACCTCCCAAGTCCAAGTGTAAACAAGTTACTGGTGTGTGACAGGTTTTGAGGAGTACCAGGAAGATCCCCACACCCTGGCATTCCATCATTTAGTCTGTCCCCCTTCTCCCAAGTTCTCCTTAATGTGCAAAAGATCCTCTTTCAGTTCGTGCAGTGGTGGTGGGATCTAGCCTAAAAGGGACAAAAGCCAAGGTGCAGGAAAAACAGAATCAAATTCTTCACCCAAAAGCAGCCTGTTTGGACAGATTGAGAAGGAACACCTGCCCTGATCCCTGATGTTGGTAGAAGAGGATCCAGTTGGGGGTGGGGATGGTGTTTACCAATACAGAGCAGCTGGCAACTCTAAGTGTGGGCCTCTCAGACCAGCATCATCAGTGTTATTGAGAAGTCACTAGAAATGCAGAATTGGCCAGGCGCGGTGGCTCACGCCTGTAATCCCAGCACTTTGGGAGGCCAAGGCGGGTGGATCACTTGTGGTCAGGAGTTTGAGACCAGCCTTGCTAACATGGTGAAACTCCATCTCTACTAAAAATACAAAAATTAACTGGGTGTGGTGGCAGGAGCCTATAATCCGTGCAACTTGGGAGGCTGAGGTTGCAGTGAGCCGAGATCACGCCACTGCACTCCAGCCTGGATGACAGAGACTCTGTCTCAAAAACAAAAACAAAAGAAAAGAAATGGATAATTTCAGGCTTCACCTCAGACCCACTGCATGACTGCACGAGAAGCTGCATCTTTACAAGATCCCTGGTAATTCATATGCACATTAAATTTGGAGAAACACGGGCTTTAAGACCCTCCTACCCTCTGCTTAGGCCCATGAGCTCTACCTTTACTGTCATTCTCCACTCACACCCCAGACTTTAAGCCTACCCTTCCCACCTTGGCAGTAAGGACACAACCTCCTTCACTTTCCTACCAGAACCCTAACCCTTCCCTGGGACTTAGGAAGATAGAATAATTCATGGAGCACACAGATGTATAGCAACAGACTCTGTACAGCTTTCAGGTTTCTGTAAATTCTACTACCTCTCCTGACAAAGTATTCCACTTTTCACAAGTAACTCTATGTGTCTGAGCCTCAGTTTTCACAACTTTTTTTTTTTTTGAGACGGAGTCTCGCTCTGTCGCCAGGCTGGAGTGCAGTGGCGCAATCTCAGCTCACTGCAACCTCCGCCTCCTGGGTTCAAGCAATTCTCCTGCCTCAGCCCCCCGAGTAGCTGGGACCACAGGCTTGTGCCACCACACCTGGCTAATTTTTGTATTTTTAGTGGCCCGGCTAATTTTTGTATTTTTAGTAGAGATGGGGTTTCACCATGTTGGCCATGATGGTCTCAATCTCTTGACCTCGTGATCCACCCGCCTCAACCTCCCAAAGTGCTGGGATTACAGGTGTGAGACACTGCACCCAGGCTTTCACAACTTTTTTCTCTCTTGTTTTCTGAGACAGAGTCTCACTCAGTCACCCAGGCTGGAGTACAATGGCGCAATCTTGGATCCCTGCAACCTCTGCCTTCTGGGTTCAATTGATTCTCCTGCCTCAGCCTCCCGAGTAGCTGGGATTCTAAGCACGTGCCACCATACCGGCTAGTTTTTGTATTTTTAGTAGAGACTGGGTTTCCCCATATTGGCCAGGCTGGTCTTGAACTGCTGACCTCACATGATCTGCCTACCTCTGCCTCCCAAAGTACTGGGATTACAGGGGTAAGCCACCTCACCCGGCCAATCTCTTTTTTTTTTTTTTTTTGAGACGGAGTTTTCGCTCTTGTTACCCAGGCTGGAGTGCAATGGCGCGATCTCGGCTCACCGCAACCTCCCTCTCCTGGGTTCAGGCAATTCTCCTGCCTCAGCCTCCTGAGTAGTGGGGATTACAGGCATGCACCACCATGCCCAGCTAATTTTTTATTTTTAGTAGAGACGGGGTTTCACCATGTTGACCAGGATGGTCTCGATCTCTTGACCTCGTGATCCACCCACCTTGGCCTCCCAAAGTGCTAGGATTACAGGCGTGAGCCACCATGCCCGGCCCTCTTTTTTATTTTAACAGAGATCGGTCCCTCTGGGTTGCCTAGGCTGGTCTCGAACTCCTGGTCTCGAGTGATCTTCCTACCTTGGCCTCCCAAAGTGTTGGGATTACAGGCATGAGCCACCATGCCTGGCCTCAGCTCTACTTCTACAAAAGGGAACCAATACCATCTACCACCCAGGATGGCTGTAGGCCTATGATGGAGAACACAGAACCCCTGCCCAGGGCCCAGGGGAGGTCCTGATGGCTCTCCTCTCCTCTCCTCTCCTCTCCATCGGCTCAGAACTCCTCCTCTGCTTCTCTCTGATGTATCGAGGGCTGGAGAAGAAGGCAGTCAGAGAATTTCTTTTTCTACTTTTTTTTTTTTTAAAGACAGGGTCTCACTATGTTGCCCAGGCTGGTGTGCAGTGGCTATTCACAGGCACAATCCCACTACTGATCAGCAAGGGAGTTTTGACCTGGGCTCAAGAGATCCTCCGGGCTCAAGAGGTCCTCCAGCCTCAGCTTCCTGAATAGCTGGGACTACAGGCACGCACCATTGTGCCCGGCCCAAGACCCTTTCAGTAGCCCTTTGGGGTATTATCTTCCTACATACCAGGGCAACTTCTGAACTCATCACCCTCCTAGAAAGACCCCCCCAACATGTTGGGGGAGCAGTCCCCCAAGGACAGGCTGGGTTCCAGATCTCATGCACACAGGAACACTGCCATACACAGGAGTCCCAAAAGAAGGGGTGATTTCTATCCGCCACCTTAGTTACCCAGCTCTTGGCAGCTGGTTAAGCCACTAGGATCCAGCCAGGGTGGCCCCCTCCTGGCCTGAGGGCCAGCTCCCCATCCTGAAAAACCTGTCTGCTGCCCCCACCCTTTTGAGGCTATAGGGCCCAAGGGGCAGGTTGGACTGGATTCCCCTCCAGCCCCTCCCACCCCCAGGACAAAATCAGCCACCCCAGGGGCAGGGCCTCACTTGCCTCAAGAACCCTGGCCTGCCAGCACCTGTTCCGGCTCCCAGCCCAGCATGGCACCCCTGCTGCCCATTCGGACCTTGCCCTTGATCCTGATTCTGCTGGTGGTGCTGTCCCCAGGGGTTGCAGGTCTCTGCCATCTCTGGCAGGGGTGGGAAGGGAGCTGGGGCCCTGGAAAGGGAGCACTGTACCTTCCAGGGCTCTCAAAGAGAGGTCTGGATAGTTGGGAATCAGGGCTGGTGATGGCGGTGACCAGGTATCAGACACTGGGCCCAGGGCACACTCCTGATCCTCCTTCAGACCTAGGAGGCAGAGGGGTGTGGGCAAGGATCCGAGGCTGCAGGGAGGGGTGAGGTTGGGTGCTGCCCGGCTCCTGGCATCCTGGATCTGGCTCTGGGGACTGCTTAGTAGAGCATGCAGCTTCTGCAGCCCAAGCCTGCCATCTGGTGGTCACATGGCACAGGCTTGGCTATTCTGCCCAGGCTTCGCAGAGTGGAAAGGGAGATGGCTCCAATGGGACGGGACAGATCTGTTGGCCAGGAGGGAGTCAACCCCTACCTGAGCTCCCTCCTGCCTCCCATCAGACTTCAACATCTCAAGCCTCTCTGGTCTGCTGTCCCTGGCGCTAACGGAGAGCCTGCTGGTTGCCTTACCACCCTGTCACCTCACAGGAGGCAACGCCACACTGATGGTCCGGAGAGCCAATGACAGCAAAGGTCTGCTACCCTCTCCCAAGGCATCCCCCTCTAGTCCCCAAAGACCCCTTCCTGGGACACCCCCTGTGCCCCTTTCCCCATTCACGTCTTCCTGTCCACCCTTTCCTGGGGCACCCACACTCTAAAACCTACCCCTTCTCCTTGGGGCCTCCAGAAACTTGACCAAGCCTTCCCCTCTCCCAATTTCTGCCCAGTGATGAAGTCCAGCTTTGTGGTGCCTTCGTGCCGTGGGCGCAGGGAACTGGTGAGTGTGGTGGACAGTGGAGCTGGCTTCACAGTCACTCGGCTCAGTGCATACCAGGTGACCAACCTCGTGCCAGGAACCAAATACTAGTAGGTACTGGGTCCAGCCTGGAGTGCCTAGGGAAAGGGGTACAGGAAGAGAAGCTGGTGTAGGGGAGATCTGGTGGACATGGGGAGAGAGTGGGGGCACAGCAACAGGGGGTGAAAGCTGGGCCTCTCTTGGAGCAGTGCACATAGGGGAGCCACACCTGCAAAGGTGGCCCAGGCTGGAGCCCCTCTTCCTCTAAGTCCCAGATACTCACTGAGGGTTCTCTATTCTCTCCCAAACCCACCACAAAAGCATTTCCTACCTAGTGAAGAAGGGGACAGCCACTGAGTCCAGCAGAGAGATCCCAATGTCCACACTCCCTCGTAAGTAACACTCCCGCCTCCCTTTCCCGTTTCAGCGGACAAAACCTTCCTGATCATTCCCGCCTCATCCCCAGTCTGGGTTGCCTGTGCCTCCCCATGTGCCCTCAGGGCCCCTGCTTACCTCTATCCTAGCACAGAGCCTTTGGCATGGCAACTGCACACTCAGCTAAAAGTTCCTCGTGGGCAGGGACTGTGTTCTATTAACTTTTCCTCAGTGGCTGACATAGGAGATGCTTCATAAATGTGTATGTGACGGGTGTTTGGATCCATCAGCTGGTTGGTTGGTTGGCTGGCTGAGTGCAAGGCTGTGAGCCCCAGGCAGGCTAGGGGCTTCTCCTGCCCACAGTGGCCTCCCTCTCCTCTTCTAACAGGAAGGAACATGGAGTCCATTGGACTGGCCATGGCCCGAACGGGGGGCATGGTGGTCATCACAGTGCTGCTCTCTGTCGCCATGTTCCTGCTGGTCCTGGGCTTCATCATTGCCCTGGCACTGGGTGCCCGCAAGTGAGGAGGTCCACCCGGAGCACTGGCTTCTCCAGGAAGCCCAGGACACCATCCAGCTCCCCACCCTGCCTACTCCCAGGCCCAAGCCTGTGGCTCCCTTGGTGCCCCCACCTCCTCCTCCTGTTCCCCTCTCCCCGAGAACCCTCTCCTCCCTGTGTCCCTCTCCTTGCCCCCAGTGCCTCACCTTCCAATGCTCTGTTACTCCTCTCACCTCACTCCTGTCAGAATCGACTTTCCTCCCATTTTATCACTTCAAACCCCTCCATAACAATTCCCCTCCTTCAGTGAATTAAGTCCCTGTAATAAAAGCTGAGGCCACATCTGCCACGTGTGTTTCCCTTTAGTGGTCTCCATCTTGGCTCAAACCTATGGAATCTATGTCCAGGCTGCAGGTGCTCCCAGTCCCCTCCCTGGCCCACAGCCCAGAGTTACTTTGCCCATGAGGCAGGCAGGGGCCAGATAAGATAAGAACCCAGGAGTCAGAGTTCTTGGAGACACACCGGGACTGTGGGTTTGGCACCATCTACAGCACACAGTAGGGCACCCCACCAGGGGTAGGGGTCAGGGCAGAAGCTGGGGCTGGTGCCCCATGTGGAGGCCTGGAGGCCTGAGAGTTGGGGGTGAGGGGCAGGCAGAGCAAGGGAAGTGCTGGGGAAAAGGGGAGAGGCTCTGTCTGGGAAAAGGCGCAGTGGCTCACACCTGTAATTCCAGCACTTCTGGAGGCCAAGGTGGTCAGATGGCTTGAGGTTAGGAGTTTGAGACCAGCCTGGCCAACATGTTGAAACCCCGTCTTTACTAAATGTACAAAAAAAAAATTAGCCAGGTGTTCTGGTGGGTGCATGTAACCCCAGCTACATCCTAGTGGCTAAGGCATGAGAATTGCTTGAACCCAAGAGATAGAGGTTGCAGTGAGCTGAAATTGCACCACTGCACTCCAGCCTGGGCAACAGTGAGACCCCCGTCTCAAAAAAAAAAAAGACAAAGGTGAGGCCACCAGGCTGAGACCCAAGGACAGGACATTGAGGAGGGAAGAACAGGCTAAAAGGATTCTCGGACATGAAAACGAAAGCAGAAGAACCCTGGCTGGAGTGGCCCAAGAGTAGAATAGCCTAGTACTGAAGGAAAAGGGCAGGAATGGTCACCTTCCTTCACTTTTGTCCTCTCAAGTATATATATATATATATATATATATATATATTTTTTTTTTTTAAAGATGGGGTTTCACCCTGATGGCCAGGCTGGTCTTGAACTCCTGACCTCAGGTGATCCACCCACCTCAGCCTCCCAAAGTGCTAGGATTACAGGAGTGAGCCACTGCGCCCGGCCACAATATATTCTTTATAAGGATCAGTGATTTTTTTTTTTTTTTTTGAGACGGAGTTTCGTTCTGTCACCCAGGCTGGAGTGCAGTGGCACCATCTCAGCTCACCGTAATCTCTGCCTCCCAGGTTCAAGTGATTCTCCTGCCTCAGCCTCCTGAGTAGCTGGGACTACAGGTGCTCACTGCCATGCCCACCTAGTTTTTTTTTTGTTTTTTTTTTTGTATTTTAGAAGAGATGGGGTTTCACCTTGTTGCCCAGGCTGGTCTCAAACTCCTGAGCTCAGGCAATCTGCCTGCCTCATCCTCCCAAAGTGCTAGGATTATAGGCATGAGCCACCACGACCGGCCAGGATCAGTGATCTTTGCATAGGGTAAAGATCTTCAAGGCCAGGCCTGATTCCCTAACTGTCCCTCAGCTCTTACCGGGTTCCCTCCACTGTCCCAGGCACCCTCTTGCCTCAGGGCCTTTGCACAACTATTCCATATGGCCACATTAATCTTGGGACACCCCCACCCACCTCCACGCTGGTTTGCATAGTTGGCTTACTGTCCCTTCTCCAGGGAAGCCTTCTCTGACCACCATTTTCTCCCATTTGGTTAGGTTCCACTCTCCTGTCTTTCATGGCATTACCATGGTTTACAACCATGTGTTTGTGTGATTATTTGGTTGTCTCTCCCATCAGAGTGTAAGCAGTTGCTTTGCTCCCAAGGGCATATAGTACCTTTGCTCCACAGTGCCTGGGACACAGTAGATACTCAATAAATGCTTGTTGAATAAGTGAACAAACAAATGCACAAATGAATGAACCAGCCCCTGAAGAGAAGGACAGAACTGGAAAAGTGCCCACAATTCTGTGAAAACAATCAGAAATGAATCACAGAATGAGTTACGGTGTACTGCTACAGTCACAGCTACTTGGGAAGCTGAGGTGGGAGGATCACTTGAGCCTAGGAGTTCATGGCTTGAAGATGCTGTGACAGTGCCTGTGAATAGGCACTATACTCCAGCCTGGGCAATGTAATGAAACCCCATCTCTGAAAAAAATAAAAACGAAAGAAAACCAGGCACGATGGCACATGCCTGTAATCCTAGCACTTTGGGAGGCCGAAGTGGGTGGGTCGATTGAGCCCAGGAGACCAGCTTGGGCAACATGGTGAAACCCTATCGCTCTGTCACTCTGACACCCAGGCTGAAGTGCAGTGTCTCAATTGTAGCTCACTGCAGCCTCAAAATCCCGGGCTCAAGTGATCCTCCTGCCTCAAGTTTTTGCATAGCTAGGGATACAGGTATGTACCACCATACCCAGCTAACTTTTAAATTTTTTTGTAGAGATGGCATCTCACCATGTTGCCTAGGCTGGTCTCAAACTTCTGGGCTCAAGTGACACTCTCACCTCAGCCTCTCAAAGTGCTGGTGTTACAGGATCTCTGAGGTGTTGAATTTTCTGGCTGGAAACCTCTGTGGCCATGGTGCCTCTGCCTGAGTTCTTGTCTTGCATCAGGAAGAATTAAGTATGCAGCTAAGTGAAGGGTAAAGAAGAATTTTTATTTTTTTTTTTAACAGAGTCTCGCTCTGTTGCCCAGTCCAGAGTGCAGGGGCGCATTCTTGGCTCACTGCAACCTCTATCTCCTGGGTTCAGGCGACTCTCCTGCCTCAGCCTCCCAAGTATCTGGGACTACATGCGCACACCACCATGCCCAGCTATTTTTTATTTTTAGTAGAGACGGGGTTTCACCATGTTGGGCAGGTTAGCCTTGCACTCCTGACCTCAAGTGATCTGCCCGCCTTGGTATCCCAGAGTGCTAAGATTACAGATGTGAGCCACCGCGCCCGCCGGTTTTTTTTTTTTTTTTTTTGAGACAGAGTTTTGCTCGTTTCCCAGGCTAGAGTGCAATGGTGCAATCTCAGCTCACCGCAACCTCTGCCTCTTGGGTTCAAGTGATTCTCCTGCCTCAGCCTCCTGAGTAGCTGGGATTACAGGCATGGACCACCACACGCCTGGCTAATTTTGTATTTTTAGTAGAGACAGGATTTCTCCATGTTGGTCAGGCTGGTCTCCAACTCCCAACCTAAGGTGATCCACCCCCCTGGGCCTCCCCAAGTGCTGGGATTACAGGCCACTGCACTTGACCAGAAAAGTTTTATTTAGAATTAGAACAGCTCAGGAGTGTTCAGCTCTTAGGAAAGAAGCAGCCCTAGAGAGGGTGTCTCCTCTCTGCAGTCAAGTCATTCCAACATTTCTGCAGGTCTCTGAAGCTCTCAGAAGACAGGGTAGCTCCTCTCTGCTAGCAGGTCGTCTCCTCAGCTCTTAGTGGAGAGGGTACTCCCTCTGCAACTGGTTGTCCCATAGTCTCCTGCTATCAGCAGAAAGGGTACTCCTCTCTCTGCAGCTGGTCATCAAGTCCCATCGTCTCTCTGCCCTCTTCATCCTCCGGACATCCCCTGCCCTGCTCTGGCTGAGACCAGGGCTTTTATGGACCTCAGAGGGGAGGAAGGTCCATAGGCAGCCATGGGCAAGCTCACAAGAGGTACAAGTCCCCACTCCAGTCAGTGGGACTGGCAGCCCAGCCACCAGCCTTCAGGCCCTCCCTGGCCTGAGGGTGGGGCCTTATTGGGGACCCCACCCCCTCCCACCCAGGACTCTGCCTCCTGCTGCTATTCACAACCCCTGGGCTTGGCCCCAACTCCGCTCTGCTCCAAGATCAGAGCAGGTTCTAGGAGCAAGAGAGAGGCCAGGCAGTGGGAATAGACATCCCTAAGCCGGCAGGGATAGGGGACCGGGATGGGGGGTGTCCTTCACGGGGCCTCTGAGGGTGCAGAGATGCCTGGGTCCTGTGCCTGGGAGGGCAGCTGCAGCTGCACCCAGAAGCTCCCATCCTGCTTCCTGGAACAGGAGGCCCAGGTCTGCAGCCGCACCTGGGAGGGCAGAGGTTGTGACGAGCCAAGATCAAGTCACTGTGCTCCAGCCTGGGTGACAGAGAGGAACTCCATCTCAAAAAAAAAAAAAAAAAAAAAAAATTGGCCAGGCATCGTGGCTCATGCTTGTAATTCCAGCACTTTGGGAGGCCGAGGCAGGCGGATCACGAGGTCAAGAGATGGAGACCATCCTGACCGACATGGTGAAACCCCGTCTCTACTAAAAAATACAAAAATAAGCTGGGCATGGTGGTGTGCGCTTGTAGTCCCAGCAACTTGGCAGGCTGAGGCAGAAGAATCACTTGAACTGGCCAGGCGCAGTGGCTCACGCCTGTAATCCCAGCACTTTGGGAGGCCGAGGTGGGTAGATCACCTGAGGTCAGGAGTTCGAGACCAGCCTGACCAACATGGTGAAACCCCATTTTTATAAAAAAAATAAAGTAAAATAAAAAATAAAAATAAAAAAACTGAGAGTCAGAGGTTGCAGTGAGCCCAGATTGTGCCACTGCGCTCCAGCCTGGGTGACAGAGTGAGGCACTGTCTCAAAAATATATATATATTTTATTGTAATTAAACATAGAGTCCAGCGGGCTTGGTGGCTCACACCTGTAATCCCAGCACTTTGGAAGGCCAAGGTGGAAGAATCACCTGAGGTCGGGAATTCGAGACCAGCCTGATCAACATGGTGAAACCCCATCTATACTAAAAGTATAAAAATTAGCCAGGCATAGTGGCGGGCACCTGTAATTCCAGCTACTCAGGAGGCTGAGCAAGAGAATCGCATGAACCTGGGAAGCAGAGATTGCAGTGAGCCGAGATCATGCCATTGCACTCCAGCCTGGACAACAG